AAGTCAAATATTATAATAAAATATGCAAAGATCTAGAGTTAGAAAACAAAAAAGGTAAGAACATATCTTAAGTCAGCATATCTTAAGCTGAAAGAACTCAAGAAACAATTCAAGGCTTAAGTTGCAATATTGAAAGATTCTATGGGGAAAATACCGAATCACGCAGGAAGCATCAAAAGACGATGGAAACAACATAGTCACTGCACCAAAAATAACTAGCTGATATTCCATCATTTCAGGAGGTAGCATATGAGGAAGAACCAATGGTGCTGAAGGAAGAAGTTCAAGGTGCACCAGATGCATTATCTAAAAACTGGGCTCTAGGAATCGATGAAATAACAACTGAAATATTTCAACAAGCTGATGAAGCACTGGAAACACTCACTTACCTATGCCAGCAAATTTGGAAGACAGCTACTTGGCCAACTGACTGGAAGAGATCCTTATCTGTACTCATTCCCAAGAATGGTGAACCAACAGAATGTTCAAAGTATAGAACTATAGAACCATATCATTGGTATCACATACAAGTATTACTGTGCTGAAGGTCATCCAACAAAAGTTGCAGAAATATATTGACAGGGAGCTGCCAGAAGTTCAGGCCAGATTCAGAAGAGGACATGGAACAAGAGGACATTGATGATATTAGATGGGTCTTGGTTGAAAGCAGGGAATACCAGAAAGATGTACTTGTGGTTTCTTGACTATGCCGAGGCAGTCGACTATATGGATCAAAGCAAACTATAAATAACATTGAGAAGAACACTTCCTTGCACTCATGTGGAACTTGTACATGGATGAAAAAGCAGTTGTGTGAAGACATCAAAAGACTAATGCATGATTTAAAAGAGGAAAGGTGAATGTCAAGGTTGTATCTTCTCACCACAGTTATTCAATCTGTATGCTGAGCAAATCATCAGCAAAGGTAGATTATAGGAAGAATAGTATGGCATCAGGATTGGAGGAAGGCTTGTTAACAATCTGCAATTGCAGATGACATAACCTAGTCTGCTGAAAGTAAGGATGACGTGAAGCACTTGCTGAAGATCAAGGATTGCAGTTTTCAGTATGGATTACAAATCAATGTACAGAAGACCAAAATTCTCACAATTGGACTAATAGGTAGCATCATGATAAATGGAGAAAAGGTTGAAGTCAAGGATTTTGTGTTGCTTGGCCCCATAACCAATGCTCATGGAACAGCAGTCAGGGGATCAAACGATGGATTGCATTGGGTATATCTCTTGTAAAAGAACTCTTTAGAGTATTGAAGAGGAAGGATGTTACTTTGAGGACCATGGTGTTTTCAATCGTCTCATATGCATGTGAGAATTGGACAAAGAATAATTGATCCGGGTCACGGGGAGGAGACGAGCCAGACTGGGTGCAGTGTAGCACCGATGATACATGCAATTTTCTTCTAGTTCCTAAATGGTTCCTCCCCCCACCACTTTCACGATCCCAATTTTACATTACAAATCCGGCTAGACCAGAGGATGTACACTGGTACAGATAGGAACTGGAAA